CCCTTCTGTGGCCACGAAACATGTGAGAGGTGTCCTTCCGATGAGGCCTTCGGTGGAGCTCCCCAGGAAGCCACGGAGCGCGTGAGTAGTGTGCCGAAGTCGGCCTGAGGACGCATGCGGGCCCTGCCGCTGGGGCCCTTCGGCAGGGCTCCTCTTACAAGGCCAAGAAGCGTGTACTCCAGATTTCGTAATAAAAGGGAGGGGGTCTGGACCCTCCAAGACAAGCCATTTCAGACCTCCCCCGTGGGAGAACCCTCCAAAACATCGTCCCCAGACCCCCCCAGGCCCTCCAAGATAGCCTGGAAGAGACCCCCCCCGAAATGAGACCCCCCTCCCTTTGTTACGAAATCTGGAGTAACGACACATGCGGGCCCTGCCGCTGGGGCCGTCGGTGCAACCCCCATAGGGGCCACGAAGCGCTTCAAGGGGTGTGCCGAAATCGGCCAGGAGGCACGCGCGAGAGCCCTGCCGCCGGGGCCCTCGAGGGTGCTGCCCATGGGGCCTCGGAACACGTGAGAGGCGTGCCGAAATGCACCCAGGCACACACGCGGGCCCCGCCGCTGAGGACTTCAATGGAGCTCCCTATGAAGCCCGGAGGAGGAGGAGGAGGAGGAGGAGGAGGAGGAGGAGGAGGAGGACGACGAGGAGCCGAAATTGGCCCGAGGACGCCTGCGTGGCCCTGCCGCGCAGCGTGGGAAGGGCGTGCCGGGATCGGCCTATAGGGACGCCTGCGGGCCGTTCCGCTGGAGCTGTCGGTCGACCCCCTGTACAGTCATCGGCCTGACCTAAGGTACGATTAATAAGGAACGAAGCCCCTGTTCTTATCCCAAGGAATAACGCATAAGGAACGACAAATAGCAAATAACGCATAAGGAACCGTAAATAAAGCATGCAAGCCTAAGGAACGACCGAGCCCCTTTTGAAAAGTAAGTGTTCCTTATTCAAGCCGCTCACTGTATGGGGGCGCGAGACGTGTGAGAGAGGGGCGGGAACCTGCCTGGGGCACCTGCGAACCCTGCCACTGGGGCCTTCGGTGGAGCTGCCCCTGGGGCCACGCAACATGTGAGAGGTGTGCCGAAAAGGACCCAGTGACGCATGCGGGCCCTGCCGCTGAGGCCGTTGGTGGAGCTCCCCGTGGGGCCACGGAACGTGTGAAGGGTGTGCTGGGATGGGCCTGGGTGCGTCTGCGGGATCTGCCAGCGCGGTCTTCGGCCGAGCTCCCAAAAGGGGCCACGAAGCGTGTGATGGGTGCGCCAAGTGGGCAGGAGGGCTGCATACGCTCTCCAAGTCCCCCACCCCCTGAGGTTTGCGGTGGAGCTCCCATTTGGGGGAGGAGGAGGAGGAGGAGGAGGAGGAGGAGGAAGAGGAGGAGGAGGAGGAGGAGGAGGAGCAGGAGGAGGAGGAGAGCAGGAGGAGCAGGAGGAGGAGGAGGAGGAGCAGCGAGGAGCAGCGAGGAGTAGCGAGGAGCAGCGAGGAGCGTCGAGGGGTGTACCGATGTAGGCAGGGGGTGAGGCGCTATGCGCGCTCCCCCACCCGTGAGCTTCTGTGGGGCTCCTTGTTGGACAACGATGCGTGTGAGGGGTGCCCCCGAATGCACAGGCGGGCGGCGGAAGCAGGGATGCGAGGTGGCCAGGCATGGGAGCCCCACGTCGTCGCACGGGCGCCTGGCTAATGATAGTGAGAACTAGTCTTCCCCTGCGGTAAAAATTCACTGGATCCCGCATAATCCAATTTGCGGACCCACAACATCCCATTGAATCCACGTGAGCACTCATTAACCCCCACTGGATCAAAGTACACCATAACCTTGAGACGCTCGCTGGGCGAACAGAAGCTCCCATACTTGGCTACCTAAGGGATGGGAGGAGGGAGGAGGGCGATGAGGAAAGAGTGAGACATGGGGCACTGTCTGTTCAAAGCGAGGACCCAAAACCACTGGATGGCTGGGAGCTACATACTAGGGGCGCCAGTAGCTCCTGGGAGTTGATAGTGATGTACGCAAGACTGGCTAGACTGACAACGAAAGACACCCAGAGGCCGACAATACCGCAGGCAAGCAATCGCAACGAGTCTGGGCGGCCTGTCGTCGAGCACCAGGATCATGATGTCGCAGCCCCAAGTCCAATTGCGTCGCGAAGCGGCGCCATGGACCAACACTACGTAGACCATGCGGGACATCCTGTCGTTCACGCCACATCGCAAGCTCGCCCGTACTTCAAGAATTGTCTGTGCCGGATGTGTCACGAATACGTTTTCTGCCATGCACCTCTGCATCGTGATTGGGCTGTTTCGCATCCGTCTTGGCCTTTTGCTGGTCTTTCTTCTGGCGCTTCTTCTCCTTATTCTTCTTCTTGTCCTTTTTCTTCTCCTTCTTGGCCTTCTTCTTCTTTTTCTTTTTCCTCTTCTTGGAGGAACTGCTGCTGGAGCTGCTGCTCTCGGGGCCCTGGCCACTGCCCTTCGCGCCCACGAGCCCAACTAGTTTGGCAGCTTTGGCGATATCCTGAAAAGGAACAGAATGGAAGCAACAGGGGATGGCGGGCACCTCGTGTACGCGCCCACTCAATCACATACCTATCACAAGCGCCGGAAGCGCTTCCTCTTGCCTCTCACCAAGCCGTGAACCTCTCTCACCCCACTGCTGCCCCGTCCCCGCGAATCACTGATCATGCTCCGTGCTTCAAAAAACTATATGGTCAAATGGGTGGCCTTCAGTATTGAAAAGTTGTAAGGAACACTTCTCACATGCCGTCCTCCTCTCCCTTCTCCCGACCTCGTGAATATGACTGGACAAAGACGGGAAACGCCGCTCTTGTCCGCTCGTCTCGTAGAAAGAAAACCGAAATCAGGGAAAGGAAGACGACAAGCAAGCGGGTGAAGAGGACAGCGTGGAGAACGAGGGGAAAGCGCGGAGACCCGAGAGGACTTCCTGGAGGAAGACATGGAACAGATGATGAGGATGAGAAGGATGAAGAGGATGAAGACCACGAGAACGAGCACGAGAAGGAGGAGGACGACAATATCGACGAAAGGTTAAGAGGCAACTACTGGGAGGCTGTCGTCGGAAGGATTACAGAAGATTAAGCCCTATTGGGGGGCTTTTACGCCGGAAAGGGCCTCGGATAAATCCAGATCAAGCGGGATTATGCGGGATTCAGTCGGATTTCGGATCAGGGCAAAATCAGAACTTGACCTCCCAGGGGTTGCATTCGAAGAGGGGTAGGAGGACAGCGTGGATGAGGGGGAGCCAAAGAAGGACGAGGCGGAGGGCGATGCTGTCATGGAGGAGGACGACGGCGAGGACGATCAGGACAAGGCGGGAAAGGGCGACGACGACGAGGAGAAAGGCAAAGTGAAGAACAGCGTCGAGGACAATGGGGAGGGCAATAAGGAGGACGAGAAGGAGGAGGAGGACGACGAAGAGAACAGGGACGAAGAGCACGTGGAGAGGGACGTGGACGAAGTGAGAGCAAGATCTCCAGCGAAACATCAAAGTTGACCTGACATGGACCGGCATTGTCGCGTGTGTAAACTGGGTTCATGGGGCTATCCGTCGTGTTGGCCTGCCGTGATGATATGTCGTGTTGCTTGTATGGTTATTTTGGCACATCGTGCTGGCATGCCGTGTTGCTGTGGACTGCCGTGCTGGCTTGCCGCACCACCCTGGTACGCCGTGCTGCTATGGTCTGATTTGTTGGTCAAGCATATTGATACGGTCTGCCGTGCTAAAATGAAGTGAAATGATGTTCCACGTGTGTCTGCCGTGTTGGTCTGCCGTGCCGCGTGATGCGCTGTTTGCATGTGTGTGTGTTGCATGTTGCAAGTGATGCACGTGTGCGTGTTGTGTTTTGTGGGTTGTGAATGTGTTGTGCGGGTGCGATGTGCGTGTGGTGCGTCGTCAGTGCTGCGTTGTACTGGGTGGGCGGGAAGGACTCACGGTGAGCATGCAAAATGTGTACTGAGCAGGGCGACGGGGGGCAAACACATTGTATATGCGCGTGTGTCGTGGACTTTGTGCGTTGCGCGCCTTGTGAAAGTTGCCCAGTGTGTTGCATGGTGCGTTGTTGTGCAACGTGCGTTGCGTCGTATGTGCTGTGTGTGCATTGTGTACGTTGTGTGTGTGTGTGTGTACCATGCGGCGTGTGTTCTGTGGCATGTACCGTGTGCGATGCGCTGCGTGATTTGCCTTAATTGGTATGTGATGCGTGTCGCGTCAGTCGTTCGATTCGGTGCTGAAGGCCGCCTTGGGCGCTCCATGCGATGGCAGCACGATTCTTTCCAAAACACAAAAGGTCGTCGTCGCACATATCATCCAACGAACTGTTGTTCGAGAGTGACTCTGGCGAGACGCATAACCGCATGCCGAGGAGAATAAAGTACCCCCCCCCCCCCTAAGTCGTTCGAGTTTTTTATCGTCGGCCTTGAAGGGTTTCAAATATAGGCGGAGGGCGCGGAGGCCGAACTTCATTATCACTGGGAAAATTCGCAATCGAGGTTACTTGTTTTCTCTCTCTCTCTCTCTTTCTCTTTCTCTCTCTCGTTCTCTGTCTCTCTCTCTCTCTCTCTTTCTCTGTGTCTCTCTCTCTCTCTCTCTCTCGTTCTTTCTCCTCCTCCCCCTGGCGCCCTGAACTTGTTTATCGCTGGGGTTGATTATCCTGGGAAAACTGAGCACATGAGCTACCCTACACGAGCAGATGAAATGTTCATGTTTCATTAAGCGCTTACAAGTTAAATCTAATAAGTTTTGAACTTTGCATGTTTGCTTCGTCCTCTTCCTCTGCTTCTCCTGCTCTTCCTCCTCATCATTCTCTTCTTTCTTGTCTTCTGTCTTTATCTCTCTCTGTCTATTTTGTTTTCTTCTCGTCTCCCTGCCCCCCTGAACTTGTTTATCGCTGGGGTTGGTTATCCTGGGAAAACTAAGCACGTGCACGAGCAGATGAAAATTCTAATTTCCATTAAGCGCTTACAAATCAAATCTGATAAGTTTTGAACTTTGAATTTTGCTTCCTCATTTCTCTTCTCCTCTTCGAGAATGTCTCAAGCGAAACAAGCAATTCGTTGAGGATGTCTCAAACGAGACAAATCATTGTTGAGGATGTCTCATAGAGGACCAAAGACCAAGGATCCTCAAGATATCTTTGGTTTTTTTCCTCTTGATATCTCTTTATGCTGGCTCTGGCGGGCAACTTTTATTATCTCCCCGAAAACCCCGAACTTTCTTATACCTGTTTGTTTATTATCCGCGGCATGGGGTTACTGTCATGGCAAAGTAACGTCGGAACACAACTCATGGAACGCCTGGTGTGTTCAGGACGCATCGGGCGCAACACGTACTTGCATGGGCACGCGCGTCGCAACACATGTCATCCAGCACCATCTCTTGTTCGAGGATGCACCCAGCGAGATCCTGTGTTGCATAAGACGATATTGGAGACAGATGGCGCTGATGATGATATCTAAAGCGAGAAAACCAAAACGCGGAACCCGACCGGACAAGAACGGGAAACGCTGCGCTTATCCAGTAGGCTTGTGGAGAACTGTCGGTCGTTTGCCGTGGCGTTGCGCTTCGCCATGCTAGCCTGCCGTGCTTCCGTGGTCGACCGTGATCATCTGGCCTGCTGTGCTGGCCTGAAATCTGCCGAGCGGGTCTGCCGTGCTCCTACGGTCTGCCGCGCATGTTGCGGCGGCCCCCCGCGCCGGTTCGCCGCGCCCCCAGGGCCCGCCGCGCCGGCGTGGAAAAGAACGGCGGGGCCCTCAAAGCAAAGAACAAAGGGGCACGGGACAGAGAAGAGGGCAGGCGGACAAGAAGACAAGGAGAGAAAGAAACAATGGGGGGGATCACCCTCGCCGCCTGTTCTCGTCTTGACGAAGCGGCCGAAAACCTCCGACCCCGCTCCGCCTCGCCGCTCGCCAGGCCCAGCCAGCCCCCTCGCACTGCGCCCCTCCGTCCGCAGCGCCCGAAGGGCTTCTGCCTCGGCGACTTCGCCCCAGCCAGGGGTGCGGATCTCATCCTCGGCGTGGACACCGCGGCGCACGAAGCCCCGCGCCCCCCGCGGTCGGGCCTGGGCGCCCTCGCACCGCGGGCAGGCAGGCGACCTTCGCGCGCACCTCCGCCTCGGCAGCCCGCGCGAGCCGCTCGACCGGGCCGCGTCGCAAGACTTCCTCGAAGCTAGGGGGTCCGTCGGGTGGCCGACCCGCCTCTCGCACTCCGCGAAGCCATCCTCGAGCTCGGCGACCTGCGACGGCGGCAGCAGCGCCCCCGCGCAAGCAGCGCCGCCATCGCCCCCGCCCGCGGGTTGGTCGCCTCCGACGGCCTCCTCTGCCCCGCGGCGAAACATCGGGCGTCGGCGGACACCTCGCGGGCCGGCGGCGGCGGCGGCGCGCCCGCCCGCGGCGGGCGGCGCTCACGAACCCGTCGCACTCCCCGAGGCCCTCGCCGAGCTCGGCGCCCAGCGACGGCGGCTGCAGCGCCCCGGCACGCAGCGCCGCCGGCGCTCCCGCCCCCGAGCCCGATCACCACCGAAGGCCCCTCTTGCTCCTCGGCGAGGCCCTGCAGCGCGCCTGCCCCCGCGGTCTGGAGCGCCGCCGTCGCGCCCCTCCAGCTCCACGGGTGCCTCTTAGCCGCCCTGCATCTCAGACGCGCGCTCTGTGGCCGACGCGCCGAGCTCCTGCAGCAGCACGCAGGTGCGCGCCTCCGCTGGCGAGCAGGGCCCGGCACCAGACCTCAGAGGCGCCCGCTGCGCGGCCGGGGGGCAGGAGGGCCGTGCAGACGACCGCAGCGGCGCGCGCCCCGAGGCTGCCGCGCCCCGCTGCGCCCCCCGCCGCAGCCCCCGACGGTCGAAGATCGAGGCGTTGGCCTCGCGCGCCTCGACCAGGCAGACGATGGGCCCCCGCGCCTGGCCGCCTCGACCCGCCGCGGCCCCTCCGAGGCGCGGGCCCCACGCCGCCTCGGCGCTCGCGGCACCCGAGGCGGCTGCGAAGCCGCGGGCCTGCACGCGCCCCGCGCGCCGCGCAGCGGCGCGGCGGCGGCGGCGGCGGCCGCTCACCCGCGCGACGGCCACCGCGGCCTGCAGGCCCGGCCGCGCAGCGAGTTCTCGGTCGCGCCACGAGCCGGGGGCGGCTGCGCCCCCGGGCGCCGGCAGGCCTCGAGGGCGACCGATCTCGCCGCGGGCCTCGGGCGAGCTCCCGCGACAGCCCGGCCGCCAGGCGGTCGGCGGAGGCCCGGGCCCCAGCTGCCCCCCCAAAGGGGGGCCCGCGCCACTGCCGACCCAAGCGAGCAAGAACCGGGCTGACTTGAGCCAAAATTGCAACGGAGGTGCGCTGCGCTGATCTGCCATGCCGCTGCGGACTGCCGAGCTGGTCTGCCGCGCCCTCGTGGTCTGCCGCTCTGTAATGGAATGGAATGGAATGGGATACGGAGACCTAGAAAACATCGAAGAAAGAACACATTAGCGCCAGGGACGCAGCTGCGCGGCTCGGTGGCCGCGCCCGCGCGGCCTGTTC